TACAAAGATCATGATATGTGATGAAGAGGGAAGACAACCTGCGTATGCCACATATCTTGCTTTTTACAAAGTTTCCAGGAAAACAAAAGGAGTGATCCCCATTGGGAACCAGTGGGTTAGTGGTTGGTGAAAAAAAAAGATTAAAAAAAAAATCAAGAAATATTCAAGAAATATTCAAGAAATATTAAAAGAAATATTAAAATATATTCGAAAAATATTCAAAAACATATTCAAGAACTATTCAAAGGAATGATTCATTACAAAGATCATGATATGTGATGAAGAGGGAAGAAAACCTGCGTATGCCACATATCTTGCTTTTTACAAAGTTGCCAGGAAAACAAAAGGAGTGATCCCCATTGGGAACCAGTGGGTTAGTGGTTGGTGAAAAAAAAAGATTTAAAAAAAAATCAAGAAATATTCAAGAAATATTAAAAGAAATATTAAAAAATACTCGAAAAATATTCAAAAACATATTCAAGAACTATTCAAAGGAATGATTCATTACAAAGATCATGATATGTGATGAAGAGGGAAGAAAACCTGCGTATGCCACATATCTTGCTTTTTACAAAGTTTCCAGGAAAACAAAAGGAGTGATCCCCATTGGGAACCAGTGGGTTAGTGGTTGGTGAAAAAAAAAGAATTAAAAAAAAAATCAAGAAATATTTAAGAAATATTAAAAGAAATATTAAAAAATACTCGAAAAATATTCAAAAACATAATCAAGAACTATTCAAAGGAATGTTTCATTACAAAGATCATGATATGTGATGAAGAGGGAAGAAAACCTGCATATGCCACATATCTTGCTTTGTACAAAGTTGCCAGGAAAAAAAAGGAGTGATCCCCATTGGGAACCAGTGGGAACCAATGGTGGGTGGAAAAAAATATTCAAAAAAATGTTCAAAAAATATTCAAGATTTATTGGTTACAAAGATTATGATATGTAATAAGGGGAGGAAGAAAACCTGTTTTTGCCACTTATCTTGCTTTCGACAAATTTGCCAGGAAAACAAAATGAGTGATCTTCATGGCGAACCAGTGGATTAATGGTTGGTGAAAAAAACATGTTAAAAAAAATATTCAAGAAATATTCATTGCGATCACATGTGCACCTTAGACCACAAGGCAACATGACATTGAACCAATGTGAATAGCTCATGAAAACAGTTTAAAAAAATGAGGCTGCAGCAAGAAAAACTGTAGGCTACAAAAAACAAGCCCTCGTCAAAGAAGTTCCACTTATCCAAAGGCAGTCCACAACTATGCGAATAACATGACCTCACCGTCGGACGACGTCGTGGCCGCGCCTCCACTGCGAGCGCAGCGTGAGTGTGTGTCTGGACCAGCGATGCAGACGGCGCACGCGGAGCCAGGATTAATCATGCTGGGTTTTGGGAGGAAATGTGTTTCACTCTATAGGTCCTCCTGCCGAAGTGCTCATGTGTGATTTTACGCTGCTTGACCTCAGAGGTCTGTTTGAACATCCAGCAGAGCATGAGAGCTGAACGACAGGATTTATTTGCAGCAGAAGAATTGTTCTTTGTTTATCTGCCCAAAGCTTAAATATTAAAGAGTTGATTTAAAGGTCATGGGACTGTAGTTGATTTTTCTTCAAACATGCGTACAAACTCCACAGTTTTAAACTGGCAGAAGTTGATGTAGTAAAAGATGGATGAGGGGGATGATGAAGATGATCCCACTAATAATTCCATTGATGAATCAGGTCGGGTCAGGAATCTATTATCGCTCCGTGCCTTTCGCATCTATAACCCGCGGCTGAGACGCCCGCCAGCAGTCGTTTCCCATCTCACCGACTGTCTAGATGACTGATCAGGGTTGTGATTGTCTCCCCTCTCCCAACACACCACCGCTGCACACGTCAGCAGCAGCGCGTGCATCTCGAGCAGTCTCTAACGGCAAGCCAGGTCGCTAAACGTTGCAATCAGTGGCGGAATTGGGCCGATTGCTCATAACCCGGTGCGTGCGCGGCACCTTCGCCTTCCATCATGAGGCTGCAGCAAGTGCTCAACCCATCAGCGAAGCTGCTTTGTTACCCCCAGTACAGTTGAAGAGCGTAAATCAACATTTAATCATCTGTCTGCCCACAAAAGCTGCCTCTGTATTGTGCACCTGCTGTAATGGAGACGCCGGGCCTCCAGTCATGGCGGTGCTGCAGCTGTACGACGCGGAGTCTGGTTAGACGGTTCCGTGCTCGGCAACGCCGTTTGAATCCTATTAAGACAAAAAAGCCTCGGCAAAAGAAAGAGCCATGAAATAGACAGCTCAGGGGGACTTTAGTCCACTCACAATGAATATCCAAACATGGGATTATTTATTCCCAAACGTCAAGCTTCTGCGTCTTCAAACCGACTTTTTGATTCTTCGCTCTCTTTTCTTCTACGAGATCAATACGACTCCCTCATAGTTTGAAAAAGTGGGCTTTTTGATTAATTGACAATAATCTTTTCTTTTAACAAAAGCCACACCATCAAAAACAGCAAATACATCAAAATAACTTGGGGGGGAAAAGCACTTAATTTATAAGCATTCAGACATAGACTTAGAAAGCTGTTCCTATTGACCCATTGTTGAGGGGAGATGTTCGATCTTCAGCGTTACGTTCCGTCTGGTGACTGGAGTCCTTTTGTGTTCCTTTTTGAAGAGAAAAGCAAAATCAATGGTGAAAATGTTTCACATTATTCATTTTTGAGACTCAATCGAAGTGCAGCAATTTCTCCATGTAATTATGACCAATCCACCTTCTTGAATTGCACATCTCCTCCAGCCCATCACATGTGTGTAAGCAAGCAGTAAAAGTGGGGAAATTGATTGTCCTCTTTCGCGACTCTCACAATCTTCAAAAACTAAACGAAATGTGCTGATCAATCCAGTCGACGACAGTCCACCTCTGTTCAAAGTCTGCAGTTTCACAATGGAGACCTGACGCTTCTGGATCCATAAGTAATGACCAACTTGGCAGACGGGGCATTGATCGCCGGCCGGTTGTAGATGCAACAGCAATCATTTCGCAGGGAAAAAATGGAGCCGAACTGGCTGTCGTAAATGGAGAGACGACCTGCTTTAACGTGACAACTTTACTTTTTAATTTACTCAAGTAGAGACCGGACTGAATTATCTGAGATGTGGTTTGATTTTGTTTTATTGCACCCAAATCTCCTTTAGAGTCACTTTTACACTCCAATGAAGAACATTTTCCAACATAATAACATAAAAACATGTCAGAAACCAGAGGGAAGAATATTCAACCATCAGCCTTGTGGCTGAGGAGGAGACGTGTCTCCTCTAAACTTAACTGCGTCCCATATAATTCAGGATCAGGAATCACGAATCAGGAAACATTTATTGCCAAAATATGTCCTACATGCAAGGAATTTGAAGAAAAGTGGTAACAATACCTCCAGCTCAAGCCGATACAATAGTAACGTACATACACGTTATTGGAGACATTATAATAATAATCTATTGAATTATCATAGAAGTAAGGAAACACGAGGGGACACTGATTGTGTTGCAGAATGAATACTTTATATTGATACTTTAGATGCATTTTGATTTTGAATGACATTTATTTAGTATTATTTGTACAAGCCATTTCTTTTCAAACAATTGGTATTTTTAACAGAGTGCGTCACGCCTTGCGTGTAACATCACATACGTGATGTGGACGTGGGTGACGCCAGCAGTGCTCTGCTCTCATCTAATAATCCTCCTCGCTCCAGTGCGATTTCCACACGACATGTGACATAAGGCGCTTCTCACAACGCTGGAGTGACAAGACGACAGAAACGTGAGAATTTAATGTTAACTGAAAGCTTCTCCCACGAATGTGGAAATCTCGCGGCGATACTCCATATTCTGCCCCCCCTCCCCCGTCTCCTCTCACTGTGTGATTGTGGGGAACCGTGTCGCCCTGGGGTCTGACTGCCTCAGTTATCAGCCCAGGTGATGGAGAGCAGGGAGCACCGTTCCTCCACAGAGGGCACCCGCAGACCCACAATGTCTTGTTTGCCAGAGCTGTGTACATTTTGTATTTGAAAGAGCAAGCAAGTCAATGAATCTCGATAATGCGAGAGCCGGGCCACATAACTCACGTTGATAGTCCTTACATTGTGCCAAGAGGCGATAAATCTGCTCCGAGAGACATGAATATGCAGTGGCAGTCAGTCTGGCTTCTTCTTGCTCGCATGCACACTGATGCACAGTTTATTCCTCTCCCCCATTCCAAACAGAAAAATAAAACCAATGAGCCGCAGCACCGTCTCATCAACAGTATTCTATTAAGCACAAAGAAATGTAGCAGCGCGTTTTCAGAATATGCTTTAAAACGGCAAATCATTAATGTGAAACGTGTGTTATGTTGGTGTATTAGAAATAGTCTAGAACAATCTATAATCGTCACATGAGTTTAGATTATTTTCTATATATTCTAACTGCTATTAAACATTTCTATATCTAAAAGGGATCAAGCAACCAGAGCATATTTTTTAAAGAGCTAAAATTGATTTCAGCCTGTTTATGATCCTCCACGTTATTTGTTTTAGGTCAAATGCATCATTAACTTACTGCAATCTGTGCCATAAAAAAAGGTAATTCAGTACTTGCAGCTGCTTTGCCTCCTCTGTGTTAACATATAGAGAGCTATAGCAGCTCTCACTGTGTCATTGTATGCAACCTGCTGCTTGTATTTGAGAGCTCTTTGCAAAGCATGAGAAATGAGCAGCAAGCAGGCTTTAATGTACTTGATGCAGACTGAATGTCTCAAATAACTGTTATAATAAACCTGCTTTGTCAATGTCCCCATCCTCATCTGACACTTATTTCCCTCATGCTAATAATTCACAAAGCGGGCGGGGGGGGTTTCCTACTCGCTAGTTTGAGGCAAAGCAAATCCATTTTAGGGCAGTAAATTAGAAACAGATCTGCATCCAACACCAAACCCAATACCTCACAATATAAAATATGTTTTTTTGTATTAAATATAAAGTATTCATAACATGATGGAAGTAGAAGAGCGGGTCATTATTCGGACCCGTCTGAAATAGTCCTTGGACATGGTTGACAGGTGTGCGTAACGACGCGTGCCTCTAGTGGCACCGCGGAAGGAGGGTCCTCAGACGCACGCGGGCGCGCGGCTTTCTGCTGTGTCTTTCCACTCAGCTCCAACTAGGTTTCCTTTTCTTTTTACAACGAACACCGCGTGACAAAGAGCTCTTTTGTACTGATTTGGACGCCCTTCAGCCGGCAGCCTCGTGCCGTCGCTGCGCACAACCGGAGAGGAGCACCGCGCAGCGGCTTCCCCGCCTTCTCAACGCGCACCATCCGCCACGGGAAGACTGGAGTGATTGAAGAACTTTCATATTCCTCAGCACTCATCGTGAGACGCTTTTCTTTTCTCCGTTTGTTGCTTTCGGATGACAGAATCGTTCGAGGCGACCCAAAGTTCCGCAGGCGCAGTCCTCCTCCTCCTCCTCCCCCTCCTCATCTTCCTCCTCCTCCTCCTCCTCCACGGCGCGTTGCGGGAGTCCGGCTCGGCTGTTGCCGTGGTACTCGCCAGCAGACAGACAGCATCCGGCGGTCGGAGGGGACACAGAGACTCGCACGGGGGAGACTGTAGCCGATCCGCCTTTGAGGGGCTGCGGGCTTCATCCGAATCCACCGGCCGTCAGAAAAAAACACACAAACCTGAAGAATGTTGCGCCAAGTACAATGAGCGCCAATTCATCGGAGACGCCACAAACCCGCCGCACGCCGCGTCGAATCCAGCTTTGATGAGCGATTCTGAGGCGTCTTTGGAATTTTTAAAAAAGTGGATCTCACGACTTTTACAACCATGAGAAACACTTGTCCGTCTCCCCGGAGCGCGGTTTGGGAATACTGGACCTTGCTGATCGCGTGTCTCTTTCGGATTCACTACTCCGACGCGATGCCTCATGTCATTCGTATCGGTGAGTGTTCTAGATTTGCACGCGCGCGCGCGCACACGGGCACACGCACACGCGGGCCCGGTGTTGAAAGTTTGTCCTCATATATTCGGCTCATTTCGGCCTCTCCGTGCCGTCACAGAGGCACCGGGGTGTTTTTTTTGGGGGGGGGGGTAAAGGTCTTTAATGTCACGTTGAACGAGGTGCAGCCAGCATGCAACAAGAGAGTGTAGTGCCTCTCTGCAGAGAGAGAGGGAGAGCATGCCTTGACACGCTGTGCGTTAGTGTGACCTCTGTGCACTCTGCTTAGTCTGTGCCATCCATGTTGAGTCACTGGCTGAAACCAGGTTTGTTGCCATGCATTCTGCAGGTCATGTTTGGCTCTTCACAAGTGTGTTAAAAACAGCAGCATCACAGTAAGAGATAGAAAGTTTCAAACTATTTGACAATTGAATCAGCGGCGAGCAGTTTGATCCACTCATATTTCAGATGTCATCCCGTGACAGCCAACAGGAGCGCACAAAAACATGTGTTCAAAGTTGCATCCTGGGCGTCGCGTGCACACACACACACACACACACACGCACGCACGCGCACACACACACACGCCCCAACGGGAGGGTCTGGTGTTGTCTTCTCTTCACCCACCGAGGAACAATGTGAGAATCGTCATCCGGAGGCTGGTCGACGCGATGAAACATTTTGCGCCGCCAAGAGACGGGAGCAGAATGAAGATCAATAATGTTTTTTTCGTCGCGAGGCGAATCGTTTTTGATATTTGGCGGAGTGCCACGCAGGACAATTACTCAGAATGCCATTGGCCCACATTAACATACCACCACAACAGACTGGGAGCGAGAACAGCTTAATGGCACGGGGCTCTTTGTCTTCGGCTTATAAATGATGGGTGAAAGTGGATGAACGTTATACAAATGCATATTTCATACCGCAGCACTCTAAGAGACTCTCCTTTGTGACATATTGGAAAAAAAATCGCCAACATCCCGTCACTGAGCCGCGTCCATTCAAATGAAAGTGACTTTAATGGGCTTTAGCGTTGCTGTATTCACAACCCGGCGTGCCCGGCGTCCAGTCCTCTCTACACTTGATGTATTTCAGCGCGGGACACGCAGAACGAAGTGCAAGGCAGTAGAATAATGCCCGGCGCCGAGCCTCGTATGCGGCCCAGGAAGCCCCCCCTGTGACTGCCTGCTGCCCTCCGAGGGGCCGAGGCTCCTGTGACATCGCCCTGCATGGACTCTGGGGATGAATCCTTAAAGCTACTGATCTGAAAATCATTTGGCCAAAAGGCCGTTATCTTTCCTTTTCTTTTTCTCGTTTTGACAGTGGCGGCATCTCACGCGAAGAGCAGAGATGACAGGCGTTGTTTTTAAAAATGTCAAAGTGCTGAGACAAATCCACCTTGAAATGTGCTACAGTCGCACTATTGCTTTTTATAGAATCTATCAATGCTGGCGGTGCAGCCGCAGTTTGTTTTTTTTGTGTTCCTGAGGTTGTATTTTTTGACAAGGTTGCTGAATTTGCCTCAATGCCAACGAAAAAAAAAAGGATCTTTTGATCCTTTGAAGCCGAGTCGCTACCTAAATGGCCATGCGTGTGCATCCATTTCATTTCATCAGATAGTATTCTACACAATCGCAATTCAAACAATTAAACCGCGTCTGTTTTAATAAGAGCGGGAGACGCAGAGGTGCGTTCACCACACGCGCCATGTGTGTTTTATCGCAGCCGTTTTTCTCAGAGAGGACGTTAGTATTCACAGTCTGTTGATCCCTTTGTGGATGAGTGCTTTTCTGAGGGCGTGTGTGTGTAGTGCCCCCCCCCCCCTTTTTTTTTGTTGCTATAATTTGGTTCTCTGTGTGCTTATTTGTGTGTGTGTGTGAGCTCTGTGTCGCAGTCACCCCTCTAAAACCAACAGAGGGCTCCCTCATACACCGGCGCTGGTTACCGAGTCAAACGGACCGGGGAGCGTCATGGAGGTGGGTGGCGGCGCTCTCTGTCTGCGCCGTGGTTTCGGTGGCCCGCTCCCAGTGCACCATCTGGGTAATGGTGGGCATCCGAGGTAGAGTTGTTGCCGTCGATTTTAGTGCTTTTTGCAGTGCGGTGCTCTAAGTTGAGGCCAGATGGTCGCTCCGTCTTGTTCCTGCAGCCTCTGTTTGTTGGTGGGAATAAAAGACGGCTCCTCTTGTATTTGTCCACTCACACGCTGTGCTTCTCTTTAGACTCCCTCCGTCGCGTTTGGGGGTCTTTTATTTTTTTTCCCCAAAAGAAAAACAGCAACCTCATTATCCGTTTCGGGTGGATCATGCAACGTTATAACAAAGACGACACGGCTGCAGGATGACATTTTTCTCCCAGAAGGTAGCATGTGTCTGTCAATAATTTGTTTGTTTGTACAAAGACAGCCGACTCAGTAGCGTAATTTTGAACATGTTTTGTGCTTCGCTCTGCACCCGGTGAGCAGCATTCTACTCATCAGATTGGGATCGACCAATTCGGATGACATGAAAACGCATCAATACGTCTTTTATTAAAACTTACAGTCATAACAGATTATTACACATTGGCTCTTCCAACTGTGGGTTGAAAGAGCTAATTTATCATTTGGTGTCTCTTTTCTCTCTCAGTGAGGTTATTCACTGTCTGACAGGGATTTATTGTATAATCAATTACTTTATCTACCTAATACTTAAGGCACTTAATCAGTGCCAGTTAATCAATCTCCCTCATGATTACGTGTAGATTTCATTTCCTTTGCTCCTCGCTGTGCCCTCTGCAACACCTGGTCACGTGCACGTTTCCTTTAGCCTCCCTAAAACGTCTTGGCAGGCGCGACTGCAGACTTAATTATCGTGTACAGCTTTAACATTTAAATGTAAGCTGACAAACGTGCAGCCCTTGAAGCGGCGCGGCCACTCACCGGCCTCGGCGGGATAAACCCGCGTCCGCGGTCACCACTTTGGTTGAAGTCTGCAAACACGGGAGCCACTTCAGAGGCTCGTCTTTATCCCTGCGCCGGCAGCTGAGAGGGGCCGAGCAGTTTTCATGTGATTAACTCTTTAAGCGAGCCGCAGAGTGCCCTCTCCACTCGGCGAGATCCCCACGCCCGCAAACGTCTCATCTGAAATGACTCAGGCGTCTCTCAGGAGAAAAAAAAGCCGTAATGGTACTTTGCAAATGTACTTTAAACAAAGTGAAACCCAAAGGGCCGCTTGTTTTGAGGATCGCTCACAGGAGGACGGCAGAGAGAGGGAAGAGGAGGACAGTGAAACACAAAGAAAGAGGAAGAACAATGAGGTGTTGCATCGAAAGTTGTATCAAATAAAGATGGCCATCAGCTGCTGAGTGGAAATGAATATTTCATTTTCATCTAAATTTAATCTCCCCCTTGACACACAGAGAGGAAGCAGGGAGAAGCCTGCTGGTAAAGGCTCGGGGGGCCGGGGGGAGTCGTCGTGGTGAATATGAACAAAGGCTGGTAGAGGTCACAGAAGAGTTGGATACAGGAGGGGGGGGGTGGATGGGATGCGGGGGGGGGCGTCTTTGATGTGTGATTCCATTATCTGTTAGCCGAGGCAGAGATTGAAGCGGGAGGAACACAACAGTTGTTTTACACACTCCCCTTCGTCCACTTGTATAAACATCAACTGGACTGAAGCAGCCGCCTGTTTTCTGCTGCTGCATGTGCATCTCACCTTCCACACACACACACACACACACACACACACACGCACACACACTCCGTCCACAACATTTTCCAAAACATATGTCTGGTCTCACTGGGCCTCTTGTACACAATCCAATCCTATTCTCTCTGTCAGCACACTCACGGCTCATCATTAGCTTCAATCTCGCTGATGGGAAACGGCAGATGTTCGTTTTGTTGAGCGGAGGGCCCGTCTCCGAGCGCGCTCTCTTCTGTAATTGCTTATGATCCGGTTTAGACGTATTTAGAAAGGGACGTTCTACTTCCACAAACAAATATGTGCTGCAGGCTTTCTGCGGTGTGTCTTTTTCCGAAGCGCAATTCCAGTCGAACTGTGCTGAATTTAAAGTGTGTTCATGTCTAACGCAGGCTGAAATAAATGCGCAGTGATCTAAAAATGTGCCCGTAATGTGTCTAATCACTAACGCTAACAAGGATTAATTGCATCAAGGCAGCGCAGGTACGTGGGTTCTTGTTCAGTCACACATAATAACGATCATCCAGTAATCCCGGCCACCGGGGGCTAATAGAGCGGATCTGCATACCGGTAAAATAATCCTGTGCACAGCAGGGCCCCATCCAGCCTCAGCCAGTTTAGCCTAGCCGCTGCTAACGCACCAGATGGTGTTTTTACACCGTACTACAAAGAGGGTGCTCTGCAGCGAAAGGCCTGCTGCAAGCATATGCTTGTGATGCCACTGACATAAATATGACGTAGTCAGAAAAAAAAGAGGGAACTCGTTTCCGTCATATTTAACGCGAGGAATTCATGGAAAAACATAACTAGTTCATTTCTTTAATTAATTAGGGCTGCACAGGTCGTGTTACTGAGTGCCGACCAGATACAGATACAGATCACCGTGTGAGAATGACTGCAGCTGTTTTTTAATCTGTCGTCAACATCAGGCTTTACTTAAACATTGCTGTTCTAAATCAACATGTAACAAATACATTCATTATTAATTGTTATTTATTAAAAGACATTAATAAGCAACTTGTTATTATATTGAAGTGGGGTGGAACTTTTTAACGGAGCGCCGAATTGGTCAATCTACATACAATAATTACAATTCTGTTACATATATTCTGTATAATGAATATAGATTGGCAACATAGAGAGGAATTGAGCCCAAACCAGCCAGCTGGCCAATATCTAAAATATAAAGTAAACAGAAGGGCTTTCAAACAATCCAAGAAACACAATACCCCCAAAAAATAAGGACACGATATTAATGGGGAAACAATTTATGCTTAAAACCGCAAAAGGAAGGACGGCGAGGACGTCAAACTAAAATGC